CCCCTCGAATAGCCGATGCCGGCGGGTGTGGGGAACTTGAGGCAGAGGTGTCTCATGGAGATGATGGCTTCTAAGTCCTCGAGGGCAGGCCGGCCGAGGATGATGTTGTGTGTGCAGTCGAGGTTGACGACGACGAATTCCACTTCGAGCTTGGCTCTATGGGACCCGTCGCCGAATTCGACCATGAGTGTGATGACGCCCTCAGCGTCTATGCTATCCCCCGTAAATCCGGAGAGGGGGGTGTTGATGTGCCGAAGGGACCCCCTGTCGAGTCCCAATTCTCGAAAGGTGCTGAGATACATGACGTTGACCGAACTCCCCGTGTCGACGTAAATTCGGTGGATGATGGCATCATTGATCTCAGTGCGGATGACGAGGGCATCCCTATGCGGCAGAGAACCCGAGGGGAGGTCCGCATCTGTGAAGAAGATTGGGTCCGCCCTCGGCCTTTTAGTTGGGGGCACGTGATTGACTTCCCCAACGTAAAGGGATTGAGCCCACTTCTTTCGCTGGCTGGTGGAGTCTCCACCTGTGTTGCCACCATTAATCATGTGGACGTGGCGCTTGTATTGTTGATGGGAGCCTTCTCCCTCATCTTCGAGGCCCCCAATTTCACGTTTCTTCCCCTGTGGGTTCCCCAAGGGGATGGTGTTGGGGTTCACCCATTTGTTTGCCTTCGGCGGAGGCCCTTGATGATGAGGGGGGCCCTGGGGAGGAGGGCCCCTGATGAACTGAGATAAGTGGCCCGCCTGTATCAGCCTCTCAATCGCGTTTTTCAGCTGGTGGCAGTCGTCGGTTTTGTGTCCATGATGACGGTGAAAGCGGCAATAGGGCTCATCAGGGCCGATGGCATAAATCTCGAGGGGTGTTCGGGAGTCTCGCTCCACGAGCCCTCGCTCTTCTGCATGATCAAGAATGATGCTGACGGGATGTGTCAAGGGAGTGCGTGGGTGCTCAAGGAGGACGGGTTGCGCCCACGCCTTCGGATTGTTCTTGTAACCGCCCCCGGTTCTGGCTTGGCCACCTCGGGGGCGATCATTATATTGGGCCTCGCGGTTGGCCGGAGGGGGAGGCCCTCCGGGCCGATTCCTGCCTTCATTCTTCTGAGAAGGATCCGTGTTGCGGCGGTCCTTCTCGATCTCCTCCGCTTCGGCATATCGGTCCCCCCGCTGAAGGGCCTTCGTATAATCGCGGGGGGGATCAGTGATAAGGCTCGGAGAGAAGTTACCGTTGCGGAGGACGGTGTGGAAGAGGGCCATCAGCGTCCTGTCATCAGCGCCTTCGACCTCGAGGGAGGCCTGCCTCCAGCGTTCCAGGAAACTCCGAAGGGTTTCCTCCTTCTGTTGTCTCACATTCAGAAGATGGGAAAAGTGTTTCTTTGAGCGGTGCCTCCCGGCAAACTGCGTAAGGAAGCGGTGGGCAAGTTCTTGCCAAGAATCAATGCTGCCTTCGGGCAACCGGTTGAACCACTCATACGCTGGTCCCTCCAAGGTGGAAAGGAACCAACGGCATAAGTATTCATCCGAGGCCCCCATCATCATCATGCTATTTTGATAGCGGCTATAATGCTCTTGGGGATCCGTCTTCCCCTCATACGGCTTGATGGGTTGCCCCCGATATTTGTGGGGGATTTTGGTCGCCAACACCCTTGGGGTGAAGGGTGTTCTAGTGCAGAGTTGGATGAGGGGCTCGCCTGAGCCTTCGGCAAGTTTACGTTTCATTTCCTCCACTTGCGCCCGGAGGTCAGCGTACTCTGGGTCTGGCCTTGCTGTGGAAGCCGTCGGGGGAGCCTGACGATTCTCCTCAAGTTGACGGAGGAGGGCTTCGATGATTTCGTCCTTAGGATCCTTCGGGGCCACCCCTTGGGAGTTGGCCCGGAAGGATTGCGCCTGATTGATTTGGTGCCTGGCGTCATCGGCATGGAGGAGGGCTTTGCCCTTGCTCCGGGGTGGAGGTATGCCCTCGGCTCCCGAAGTGGAGGCTCCACTCTCCTGAGGCCTGCTGAATTCCTGTTTGCCGAGGCGGTCTTGGACCCCTCGGCGTATGGGAGCTCCCCCAAGCCTCTCAAGTGCAGAGGTCCGGGGTTTCTCCTTCATCAAGGGACGTTTATCCCTGGATTGGGCCTCTTGGGAGGCGGTGTCCTGCGCCATGACCCCTTCGGCGTTCCCAATCCCCGGGGGAGGATTGTTGAACAGAGGAGGGAGTGGTGGTAACTGAATAACATTCCCTCCAGCGTAGGGCTGGAGGGGTGCCTGAGAGGCGAGGGTTCCGGAATTGAGAGCCATGTTCTGAACAAAGGCCGCAAAGGCAGCCTGAAGATCGATGGCCGGGGCCGGAGGGGGAACTTGGTTCTCACTCCGATCCCTCCTTCGATTATCAAGGCCAATGCGGGCATCAGGGGTGTTCTTCTGCAGCTGTTGACGTAGGTCAGCGGTGGCTTGCTCTAATTCGAGGATGATACCACCCTCCGGCACTAAGAGCCAGTTGGAGGCTTCAGCCCCATTGGTTTCGCCGGGGGCTACGTGGTTCTCCTCAAGGGTTTTGGACTGGGCACGGGTGGTTCTTCCCATTTTTGGTGAGTGTTTTGTGTTTGGTAGAGGGGGAGGGTTTCTTACTTGATAGTTCAGACCTCTCAACGAGAGCACCAAATGATGGATAGTCTACCCGGGGGGTATCTTATCCGAGGGGTTATTGTGGGAATAACTTAGAGAGAAGTCAGAGCAAATAGGAGGAGAGAGAGTCGATTTTATTAAATGAACTCGAGATGTGGAGTTGGGATGTAGGTTGTGATTTACAAGGAGAAATGGGCTGCTATTTATAGCAGCAATAAATGCGATGAGAGGACACGTGTCAGTAATCCAACGGCCGAAGGGTCACATCAGCCTGGTGGCACCGGCAGTGGTACGTCAACCGCATTTAATGCGGTTGGCGGATGTGACGTGGTATTAAATGCGGTGGTTGGCTGTCCCCAAAAGGAATCTTCGATGATTGAGCTTGTTCAGCCGAGGGCTTCTTGTGTAGCCGAGGGCTCCATGTGGCAGGGACCCTTGTGTGGCCGAAGGCTTGGTTCAGCCGAAGGCTTCTCCGATGCCGAGGGCATGAAAATGCCGATGGCTCTTGTTTTCGCCCCGTTTTCTCCCAGCAGCTTCTTATGCCAAAAAAGGCTATCCTGTGAGTTCTGGAGCCTTCAGCCAAGGAGGCCGAAGGCATCCCAATGTGTATTCTGAGCTATTTCGAGGTTTGGGCCGTTACACTTGGACCTGAGATGTTCTCTGGGCTCAATGGACTTGTGTAGGAGAAGTAGGAGTCTATGGGCCGGGGGTTCCTGGGCCATATACTCCATCACTGCCCCTGTTAGCGGTCTTCTTAAAATAGTCTCACCTTTTCGTTATTCAAGAATAATCCAACCTTTGCATCCCATCTTCATTCGCTGGTCCCTGACCGGTTAATGACCTGCTATTCCAAGTTATTTTCTTATCTTTGCAAAATTCGATATACTACCTCCGTTCCGCTAAGATTGTCCCATTTTACCTTTTCGGTCCGTCCCACTAAGATTGTCCCATACCAAAGTTGGTAAAGTTTGTGTGGCTCTAAATCATTCTTACTTTATTTTTACTTTATCAATTCAATATACACCACATAAACCACTTTTGATTTCGGGCGTTGGGCTGTGTAATAATAAGAAAAAGTAATCTTGAAGTGACTTTATTGACTGTATTGGCTGAAATAAATGTAGAAAATTATTTTAACTATTTCTTCATATAATTATTTTTATATTAATAATAAAAAGTATCTTACATATAATTTTTTCATGAATCAGCAGAAATAGTCAATCTAGCAACTTCAATCAGAATTTCTTAAATTTCAACATAATCAATCAATTCAATCAATTCCAGCATTATCAAACGGACTCTAAAAAATTACGAGGTCTAAATTTTAGAACATCGATCTACTTATTAAAAATGTTTGTAGGCTAAAAAACATCTAGTCATCGTATCTTCAAAATTATTTTAATTTTTATATATTGAATATTGGTGTCATATGAAAGATAATAAAAATTTAAAAATTGTGATATAATTTTTAATGAAAATCCGCTTATAAATATAAAAGTTATAACAATTTAGAAAAAAGAGGGATTTTTCAATTTTTGATGAGTTCTTATTGGCTGCCTCATAATCCTCCTACTCCGTAGTACGTAGCTTGCTTCTTGCTGGAGTATCGACTGTTAGTTTTTTCCCATCAGTTACGTTTTATTTAATTAATATTTTAATATTAATTATTCAGAAAATAAAGTACATTTATTTAAGGGGAAAAACTAATCTGAAGTGGTCCATTTATTAGATAAAGATTACCCATTATTTTCCCCAACTTATTAGCGAGAGAAGGTCGGTAACTTCTCCCTACTAATCGGCCGCACGACTGGGAACTCTTTGATGGGAAGAGCTCGATAAATAGCAGCGGCCATCTTGGCTCTTGTTTTATCCCTGAGTCTGCTCCTCACCTATAGTATACACATACCATCTAGTGAAACTGAAGAGAAGGGCTTGGAAGAGCAAAACATCTAGGGCAGTTCACTGTGTTCTTCAAGGAGATGGCTGGAGGTATGTAATTCCATATTTTGCTTCCACTAATTGTTGTATTGATCTGAATGTGTTCTATGAGGTTTTGACATGTTTAGATCAGCCTGTTCTTACATCGACAACAAACCAAAGTCGCCAAACCTTGGGCGGTTTTCATTAACCACAGTTTATTCCAACATTATTTTGGTAAATTGTTTTAACCCGACTCTAATTTCGTATATAATTCTGTATTTAGCATTATTTTGAAAAAAAAAACCAACTCAAGCAAGTGAATTTAAGTGTAAATTTTAGTCCGATTCTGATCATGTTATCTCTAAAGATTTTTAGCCTCAGATAAGTAATTTATTCATTTTCGAAAACTTCTAAATATCCAAAACGTTATTTTTAATCTGAGTAACATAGGAAGTTGAAAACGTACCTGCCATATTAAAATCGGAGTATCATTTTGTAAATAGGGAGGACTAAAAAAGAGGAGATCAATTGTTCAGCGTGTCATTAATATTACATGAATATTAAAATAAAAAATATTATTACAATAAGCTAGAAAAATAATGATCATGATGATATTTATTTTTACAATAATAACAATATCTATATAATAATGACAATATCTAAGCACTTGGTTATTTTCTACCATATAGTAGCACCATAACATGATGATTAGTAGCAACAAAAGTTAAGAGGTTTGGATGTAAAAGATAATTTCTCATCCATATCTCATCTCTTACATGTTGCAATGTTAAGGAAGGTAGTAGCTCTTGCCCTCTACATGTTATCTCTATCTGCATGCATCATGCATATATTCATTATCATCATAACCTTAATGTGTCCCCATGAAATTAAAAAGAAAGAGAGAATTTAATTTCATCATTGTACTCCTATGAATTTAACAATCATGCCATTAAGGGCACAAACAAAACAATATATATATAGAATAATGAACATGAAGTTGTCGTTGTATAACCTTTCATAATTGATAATAAGATATACGGAATTTATGAGAGAACTATTCGCATATGTTTAAACTAAAATACATTCGCATATTAATGTGCTATTTTCCAATTCAATATCAACTATTTTAAAAAATTTTAATGTGCGAATTAATGAACTATTCGCATAAAATATATTCGCATATATTTTAGACGAAAACAATTTTGAGGCCATTCTTTGACTTTTGATAAACATTAAACTAAAATACTTAATAAATCATATTAATGTGCTATTTTCCAATTCAATATCAACTATTTTAAAAAATACAACAAAACCTTGCATGGATAAAAACTTTCATAAAATAATCAAACCAGTAAATAAAAGGTAAAAAATCATATTAATAATATAGAGAAGGGTAAATTTTGATTAAGAAAATTCCTAAAATTACAGGATTAAACCATACATAAAATGCACAATAATTATGACTACCGTTATTTTTTTTCCCTCTAAAATTAGGCACATTCGTGATCAAATATGACTACTGTTAATCAAAAAGTTTTGTACGTTTTAAATGATCAAATAAGTCCTGCTTTAGGACAAAAACAAAGTAGGTCTTATTTGTACATTTGCCTATATTTTAGTCTTATTTGAAGCAATTTCTCATATGATTTTGTGATCACTTTGAAAGTTATAGTGTTTCAATAAAAATTAAAAAACGTTAGTGATGGATAGTCTACCCGGGGGGTATCTTATCCGAGGGGTTATTGCGGGAATAACTTAGAGAGAAGTCAGAGCAAATAGGAGGAGAGAGAGTCGATTTATTAAATGAACTCGAGATGTGGAGTTGGGATGTAGATCCTGTTTTACAAGGAGAAATGGGCTGCTATTTATAGCAGCAATAAATGCGATGAGAGTACACGTGTCAGTAATCCAACGGCCGAAGGGTCACATCAACCGGTTGGCACCGGCAGCGGTACGTTTACCGCATTGAATGCGGTTGGCGGATGTGACGTGGTATTAAATGCGGTGGTTGGCTGTCTCCAAAAGGAATCTTCGATGATTGAGCTAGTTCAGCCGAATGCTCCTTGTGTAGCCGAGGGCTCCTTGTGTAGCCGAGGGCTCCTTGTGTAGACGAGGGCTCCTTGTGGCCGAGGCCTTGGTTCAGCCGAAGGCTTTTCTGATGCCGAGGGCATGAAAGTGCCGAAGGCTCATGTTTTAGCCCGTTTTTTCCCAGCAGCTTCTTATGCCCAAAAGGTTATCCTGTGAGTTTTGGAGCCTTCGGCCAAGGAAGCCGAAGGCATCCCAGTGCGTATTCTGAGCTATTTTGAGGCTTGGGCCGTTACACTTGGGCCTGAGTTGTTCTCTGGGCCCGATGGGCTTGTGTAGAAGAAGTAGGAGTCTATGGGCCGGGGGTTCCTGGACCATATACTCCATCAGTTAGTAAAAGGCTAGTAATTAATATAATACTCCTTCCATCCTAAATTGAGTTGCAGACATGACTTTTTTTAGTCAAACAAGTTAATTTTATTCACTTAATTAGATTATCAATTCTTAATTAATTTTTTATTTGAATTTTACAACTTTATAGTTTTTTTAATGTAGTTTCTAAATATGTAAATTTTAATTATTAAAATTGAATTAATTAAGCTTGAAGAGGAACAATGGCGTTTAATTTGAATCACTTATAAGCTACATCTTACACGTCTTAATTTTTCATAGCAATAAATTTTGGGCGATGGATTCCATCTGAATTTGTGACAAGAAGGTCGGCCAAGTAATTATGACGCATTGCATTGAATACTGGAATGACATTTACAGTATTACCCGGATTCGAAGAATTTTGGATCAGCCATATATCTCCCTCGAAGTCATTAACAAGACAGTCAACTGTGCGGAACGATACATTAGTGAAGGCAACAACTCTCAAACTACTCAGATCAATTTATCAATATCTTGAAATTTGATGCAATAGGATTCTCTTATGTTGCCAGGGCTTTGTAATTTGAGTAATCTTTGATTTGGTACTCCTCTTTATAAATTTTTTCTTATTACTTTGTAAGAAATAATTTTTCTTTTCAAACATGCATCTAATAATTTTTTTTCTGTAATATCTCGAAACTCAAATACTCCCTAAATGTAACATGGATACTTTTTCTCTAAAAATAAATAAAATAGTTTCTCAGAGAAACTGTAAAACTTTTATAGTACTAATGAGATTACAAGTCACAAATGAGATTGATTTAGAGATTACGAGTTCAATCCTTTTTACTATCACTTTTCTCAACAGAGTCTGTTACACACTACTTGTCTAATGTGGTTCATTTAGCTGGCATGGTTTCCACGGGATTGTACCACCACCAATTGCAGAGCCAGAAAAACGACTCAGGAGGTTGAAACTCAACCTATATACCGAATGAAAAGGGTGGAGTATTTTGAAACAACAATTTGAGGCAACTGTCTTGGGCCTCAAATTGTAAAAGGCCCTCAAAAAGTAAAAAGATCTTAATAGTTTGAAGGGAAACCTGTCAATTTGGTCCTCGTACTATCACGAAAAAGTCAATTAGGTCCGCGTACTTTTAAAAAAATCAATCAAATCCTCGAATTTTGTGAAAACGTTCAATTGAGTCCATTTGCAGGTCCACAAGTGTGCCACATCAGGGGGTGTCCCACTTTTATTACCTTTTCATTTACCCACTACTCATTACACCTGTTTACACTACTCCTACTACTTTACTCTTAAAACTCGTGCCAAAGTCTAAGGAGACTAATAAAAAAGAACGGAGGGAGTATTACACAAAAAACACTTATTTTACTAAACACTACCAACTTTTACTTTTCAAAATCATTTTTTTCTCAAACACTATCAACTTTTACTACTAATCACTTTTTTCAAAATCACTCCAAAAGTACTTTTTTAAGTATATGCGGTTGCAAACACTCCCTTGATTTAATGGAGTCGATCTCGTGTGTGAGATTTTAGCGATTCAGCATATTTATTGTGTTATGAAACTATATACGGAGTATGAGGCTTACTGTTCATGGTTCATCAACGTGTTTGATTTTTAGAGGTTAGCGGATTATATTGCTGCAGATAACTAACAGATTAAGTTAGCGAATAATAGATTATGTTAGCGGGTTGTCAATAGAGGATTCAGTCAGCGAGTTTGTTTAGCGGGATAAGTTGACGGTTCGCCAAGAGATGTTTGATAATTTAACCCAAAACAGTTTGATCATAAGAATTAGTAAAAATTACTATATTTGAAAAAGTTAACCCAAAATGCTGTTATTTGCATTACTTTTATTTCAACGATTCCAACTAAAAACGTTTGAACCAAACAACTATTTACTAATAAACAACATTTCCATTTATTGAAAACGTTCCAAGAGAGCAAATAAAAAAGCAATTAGTGAAAAATGATTTTCCAAACACTTGCATGATTGGACTTGGAGAAGGCGGGCCGGATCTTTTCATACATATGAAAACGAAATGGAAAAAGGGCCTAACACATTATCTTAATTATGTCTGACGTGAAGGTTGAGTTCAATAAAAAAGCATGCCATGCAAAAGTTAACATTCTTCAAAACCTTTCACACGCATGCCTCACCACTTTATTTACCTTTTACGGTGTACTACTTTCACTGTTTACTAGATTGGTTATGCATGTTTAAAGGCATAAGAGCAACTCCAATGCAAGGCTATGATCTTTTACACACCCTTACCCATAAGTCCTATTTTTTATCTCACAATTTTTATGTGTATGTAGGACCCACATATTTTCTAATTTATTTTCATTTTTATTTTTTATATCACTTTTAATTCACTATTCATTAACTTTTTCTCCTCGAATTCCGTGTAAGGTCCATATATGGACCTTGTCATAGACCTTGGTCCATTTTTACCTCTATCTCTCTTCTCTTTTTCATTTTTTCATACACACCACTCCATCCTAATATTTATTCTATCTCTATCTCTTTTCTATGCCATATCAGCTGCAATGCACCCTCCCATTGGAGATGCTCTAACGGCGAGAAATTAAAATTTGTAAAATCCTTATTTGTTTGGACAAACATGCATAATAATAATAATAACAACAACAACAACAATTCAAGACATTTATACAAAATTGTAAAACTCTCTTATATCTAAATAAAAAATATTGTTGTATTGGTGATTCATATTTAGTAATGAAACAATAATGATTCTAGTTTTAAACATTACCAATGTCTAGTCCTATTTAAGAAATAAACTCTATTATTATCAATTCTTAAATTTACTCCTCCAATGATGTAATCATTTCATTTCATTTTTGTTGGCTAAACCATTCTTCTTCTTCGAATTGTCATCTTGTAGATTTGATCTTGTAATTTTTAAATGTGCTCATTTTTTGTCCTATAATTTACTCATTTGCAAATCTAGTCCTGCAACTAATAAATTTATCCATAACAAAAAGTTTTATGTAGGAAAGTACACTTTTTGATATGTTCTTTTATACTACTCCCTCCGTCCCTAAAAATTGTTCCCTGTTTTCTTTTTGGGCCGTCCCAAAAAATTGTTCCCCTTTCCCCTTTTGGAAAGTTTTTTGTGGCTACAATTCATTTACCTTTTTCTTACTCAATCACAACCATACATTTCCACTTTATTCCCACTTTCTTAAACTTCGTTCCAAGTCAATGCGGGAACAATTTTCCGGGACGGAGGGAGTACATCGCTCCCATTATGTATGCTTTGACACAATTATTAATAATGTAATTGAAAAAGTAAAAAAAGTTGTGGTTGAAATTTGAGTATAATAAAGTGAATGTTGTGGACCATGTACTATCCTCCATTTTTAATCGCAACATGTTGAATTTTATACTATTCACATGCTCTACTTTGACTACATTTTACACTATTATTTTATAAAAATAATTTAAAAAAAAAAGATATTGTTCAATTCATTTCATTACAAATTTTCAAAATCTGATTTTTAATTTTTTTCTAAAAGAGAATATATTAGATATATTTACGGTCAAAGATGTGCATTGACATATGTGAAATGTTGACGTTGCAATTAAAAAAGTATGGAGGAAGTATTAATTTTCAAAAAGGAAATGCGACACTTATTTTAACGGATATTTTTTACGAGATATCTGATGATAAAGTCCTCCTAATGAATTAATGGACAAGTTTATTAATTGAATAAGTTACAGGATCGATAAGGATACAATCAAAAGTTACCAATCTAGCTAAAACTACAAATCTTACTAAATACAATTGAACCCAATAAATATATTTATTTGTTAGATGATGAAAATTTGTTTGTTTTCCACCTTTCAATAAACTTACACCATGGTGAGATGTCTTCCTAAAACTTATTGCTATTTAAAATGGAATATATATGTGCTCAATCTAGTGGAGACTAGTGACATGCACGATGCGTTTTAAATTAGGACATGATCTGTTATTGAGATCGACCCTGTCCACGTGTATGATTAATGGCCCTAGGATGAAAATTTTGATGCTATGTGACCTACTCATAATTACCCTTCTAATTTAAAGGTCAATGCACTCAACATGGTTTTGTTTTGTTTTTCTTTCATAAAATTCATGCACTCTCGTATTACTATTTTGATGGCTCCATTTGCATGTAATATAATCATTGCTCCATAGACTATATAGTATTGGTAATGATAAAAGAATTCCCTAAGCTTTTTACGCATGTCGTGCATGTTGGCAGACGGCTATTAGCAAATCATTTCTCTTTTAATTTAGGTTGTGCCCCTTCTTCCTATGTTACATTAAATGACTAATATGAGCACTCTTCTAGAATCGGCCAAGTGTGGTAAACGAATACAGCAAAGGGAAAATAATTCAATACGGAGTATAAAATTCTCTACCATTTGACTTAAATAATTAATAGTTTAAGAAGTGGGAATAAAAAGAGAATGTATTATGGAGTATTATGCAAGAAAAATGTAAGTGAGAACAAAAACGTTTCTTAAATAGAATTACTCCGTAAGAATCATGTTTTTGAAACATTCCAAAAATATAAGTGAGAAAAATTTTATGGGATCCATGTAGTCCGGTAATCTTACAAACGTACTATATACTGATGGGACGATAAAAAAATTGATGGGACTAGTTTAAAATTTTAACGGATTTAAATAAGACAAGATTTAAGTTATCATTAAACTTTCTCCCATTTTAGTCACGCAAAATTTGTATCATTTGAATTAAAGTTGGTTATTAAAGTTTAACAATTTTAATTTAGTCTCATAATTTAGGTGGTTCCTGAATACGGAGTAATATATTACTCCCTCCGTCCCTGAATGTTGTTCCGATTGCGGATTACGAAGGTTGACCGACGATAAAGTTAAATGATTCCTGTGAAAACTCGGATTATTTTTAGTAAATAAAATTTACATATTCAGAAACTACATTAAACCCGCTACAAAGCCTGCACAAAAAAAACAATTTTCATAAAGTTTTGATACAAAAAGTAAAAGTTTAAGAGTGATTTAAGTTGACTCTCGAAAGTGAATTTAGGGAGTATCATCAAAACACGTCCTCTGACATACGTAGTACATTATTAGGTGACCTGACACTCAAAATATGATACGAGTATGAAAAAAAGTCCTTTAATTTAATTACGAAAAACATCGGTGATTTTCACTTAAAAGGTAGAAATCTTAAAATAATGCCGTGAATTTCATTTAGTGAAACTTAATCTTTGACAGAAAATGTAACTATTTTGAGCAAAATTTATTTTGGACTCGGTCACTCAACTATTTAATCTATAGGACTACATTGACAAAATTGACTTTGTTTCAAGTTGCGGGAGTAGAACGGGACGTGGTTCGGTAAACGTTTCGAGGCGAAAAAAAATGAGTGAATTCCCTAAATAGGACTAAAAAGTGGCAAAATTGCACAAATAGGACTACATTTTTTAAATTCCCTAAATAGGACTATTTATGTGTGTTTGGACAAATATACCCTTGTAACTTGTGAAATGTTTTAATTAATAATAAAATCATAAAAATAATAATAATAATCGAAAAAAATACTAAAAATCATAAAAAAAATAATAGAAAATTAATAAAAATATTTTTTTAAAAAAATAAATTTTTTTTTTTTAAAAATTAAAAAAAAATAAAAAAAATCGTAAAATTAAAAAAAAAAAACATTACCACCCCTGCCACCCCCAGCACCACTAGCTCCCATCACCGGAGAAAAATATGCCAACATTTTAAATTATGCCATAATGATGGCATATTCAATGAAAATGTTGGCATATTGAAGAGTAATTATGCCATCTTTTTGGCATTTTCAGAAAAAGATGGCATTTTTTTTACCAAAAGTGGAAGAAATTTCACCAATCGGAGGTGGTGGTGGTGGGAGGCGGCAGGAGGCGGTGGGAAAGGTATCCATAATTTTTTTCTTTTTTTTATGGGTTTTTACTATTTTTTATTATTTTTTAAAAAAAATTAAAAAAATAAAAAATTAAATTTTTTATTTTATAAATTTTTTATAAATTTTTATAATTTTTTTACGTTTTTTAAATATTTTTTACGTTTTTTTATGATTTTATTATGAATTAAAGCATTTCATTAGGAATTAATACTCTTAGGGGTATTTAGGGTAGAAAATCAATGTTTAGTCCTATTTAGGGAATTTAAAATGTAGTAGTCCTATTTGTGCTTTTAAGGAACTCATTAGTCCTATTTAGGACAATTTCCGAAAAAAAATCATTTCATTACTATGTATGCATGACCTACCATACTATTTTTGGCGTGCCAAATCACTTTGTTAAATGTGAAGATGTCGTATTTGATATTTCACAATTCAGATGAGTGTACACACTATTTAGTTCAATTTGTCACTAAAAAATCTTCTGATGTTTATACATATATATCTCACATTCTCATGTTATTTGAAGCAAAACAATGTTGGGACTTTTTATTTAGAAAAGTTAACAAATACGACGTATGCATATACGACTAAAGTAAAACTAAGTAAGAGTTAGAGATGAAAAAATGATTTTTAATCGGTTATACGACTATAGTACGTGATCTTTAGCAGTAAATGCAATGATAACGTGACATTCATGATTTGTGCACTTTAAGGTACCATTTTAGATCGATTTCTTATTTTTTTATTTTGCTTCTTTAGAAAGTAGAAACACATACTCAAATGTTTGGGTGGAAGTAATGTACTTTTGAGTATTCCAAAATGATCATAGAAGAAGTTTTGTAAAAGTTATGGAATATCAAGTTCTAAAAACTAATTCACATTCTACTTCTCTTTAAAAAAACATCAGATTCTACTTCGGTTTAAAAAAACATAATCAATTACAAAGACTTTTTAATTATGTTTGTGACAAAGGACTCCAATTTAAAGAAGGCATTCAAATTCGAATTTTTGATAAAGTTAACCTTACCATTTTGATACACATAAATCTTGTGTCCCTCCAATACTATACGTCTATAGGGATGGATGAAGAATACTTAACGAGTGAGATGATGGGTTGAATTCAAAATACGTGTATTAGTTATATATACATACTTCCCACCTAATTAATCAAAGAAGTCGTCATCGTATCACCATCTTATCAAATTGATTTCTTAAATTTTACCAGATACAACTAACCATTAGTCAGTTCTCTTGTTCCTTTCATGTTTCTCACATACCAACCAAGTAACCAACGCCCGCATATCTAATTAATTAACGGCTTAATCCTTAATTTGATATCGTAGACTTGTTAATTGCACATGTTTGTTGTAGAAATTTTGTCTATTTTTTTCTTTGACCGTACTTTTTGCTATATTATGGTTACGTTGCTTTACAAAAAATAAATTGATAACCTACCTCGACTGAATGGAGTCATTCAAAAAATGTGGCATTACTAGCATACGTTGGGATCATGTTATGAAATTTACAAAAAACTACTTTTCAAAATTCAAATATCGGCAATATTGGATTAGTATCCGTGCCAAATCACGCCACATTAGATCAAATCATCATACTCAAATTGGTCTAATATCAAACCATACTTTTGCAATTATTGCTAAATACACACATAAAACAGACACTTACCATACCAGACCACACTTAAACAGAAAGACCTAATGAGATAAAGTCAAATTTTTCTAACAAATTAAGTGTTAAAAATTGCTATACAAACTGATATCTATGCTGAATTGAATTATCTAACGATTTTTTCCCATACAGTAAAAGTACTACTCCGTCATAATTTCATGAACACGGGACATTTTTCTTACTCTATCTGTGCTAATAATTACTACGTACTTATTTCGCACAAAATAACATAAATTAAACCGGATGCATGGTATCATAATGCAAACGAATCTATTTAATTAAAAAGGAAAATGAAAATATTTATAGTTTGAAAGAAAGCATTGGAATATCAATTCATTCATGCAGAGAATTGAATGATAATTATTATAAACACAATAAATGAAATGAGAATTGAAGGTACGTACCTCGGATTCGTTTTCTAGACGTAGCTTATTGACCAGGTACTTTAGCACTAATAGGATTGTCATTCTTCCATCTCTAATTGTATATACCATAATTATTAATCACCAAAATGAAAGCATATATCCTTACATTAATAATTGAGAAGCAAATGAATGCATGCATGAAATTAATTACGTGCACGTAAGACACGCAACCAATTTAATATTTAATACTACGTTTTTTAGATGCATGGCTAAATTATATACGGAGTAATGTACAAGGGAATTGAATGAAGAAACAAATACTGACTTGATTCTTATGTATTTCTTGGATATCTGCCGCAAATAAGGTTCTTTTCTTCTGCATTATTGGTTCCCAATCAAGAAAAAATAATTATCAATGGAGTGGCAATTAATACGTCAAAAACTAGAAGGAAAAAAGAAACATAAATATTGAATATTATAATATACATATACATGGCACAAAAAAACTTGATGTTCCGTTTGTGGAATATGTTTAATTTACAAGAAGATGAGGCCATGGAGGCTGCGATCCGGAAAAGAATATCGGCTGGGAGAGAAAAAAATTAGGTTTCCCTAGCTCTTGATACCATGTGAGAGAATGGAACAGGTTACCCCTTTAGGAGCCCTGGCAGGTTTATTTATAATAGTCAATAATGTGTAAAGTACATAAATGGCCCTAGTCTATTAGTATTGAGTCTTTAAGAACTAATTTGGTCCAAGGGTATGGTCTCTTACACAACCTTACACATGAATCTCATTTTTTGTCTCAAAATTTTTATGTTTAGGACCCATGTATTTCCTAATTTATTTTCATTTTCATTTTTTATATCACTTTTAAGTTTTAACACACTTTTCATCAACTTTTTCTCCTCGAATCCCGTGTAAGGTCCATATATATGGACCTTGGAGTTTTTTTCCCAAAAGAGGGTAGTCTCCAATCTTATTTACCAATTAAAGGTACTTTTAAACTTATTTACCAAATGAGGGTAGTTTTTTCCTTGTCATCCAATTTCCGCCACATCACCTACTCCACATCATTCACCGACATCAATCATTCCACGTCATCAGCCATATGGGTATTCTTTTAAAATATAAAAAAATCCGTAGCCCCCGGGAATTGAACTCACGACCAAAATGATGGATTAGCATCTTGGAACCCATTAGGCTACATTGACTTATTGGTACAATTACACCTTTACAAGTATTTAACATCTATGTATGCAACGTATTTTGATATACACAATTCAAATATAATTTAAAATAACTCTACATTAATCAAAAACAATTAGAAACAAAATTGACAACGGCTGGACTAATTCATCCCATATTTAATAAAAAAATCTTATATTACTAATGCATAACCATGTAAAAATATAAATTCCATGACAAAAAAAAACAACAACACTGAAATACAATTTTTTACAATCACAATATAAGTATTTTACAAGTATATTGACATTTATTTGACATATACTACATACTATATATTTAAGCACATGACATCACCAACTTAATTCATATATTAATCGTTCCTTTAGAGATATATTAGTCATTCTTCAAACAATTAAAGAATATGATAACATAACATTAAAAAAGAATATGATAAACACTTAATTTGAGATATACAATTAAAAAATTAAAACTCAATTAAAAATTATAACAAAAACGTAATTTGATATATGCTATACAAGAATAATTAAAATAAATCTACTCTAAATAAAATAAAAAATAAAAAATGTCAATATAGGTTCAAATCCATCTCAGACTTGTGAAATACTTATATTATGATTGTAAAAAAAATTGTATTTCAGTGTTGGATTTTTTTAATTTTTGTCATGGAATTTATATTTTTACACGTTTAGGCATTAGTAATATAAGATTTTTTTATTAAATATGAGATGAATTAGTCCAGCCGTTGTCATTTTTGTTTCTCATTTTATTTAATTAATGTAGAGTTATTTTAAATTATATTCAAACTGCGCATATCAAAATACGTTGCATACATAGATGTTAAATACTTGTAAAAGTGTGATTGTACCAACAAGTCAATATAGTTTAGTGGGTTCCAAGATGCAAATCCATCATTTTGGTCGTCAGTTCAATTCCCGGGAGCTACGGATTTTTTTATATTTTAAAAGAATACCCATATGGCTGATGACGGTGAATGATGTGGAGTAGGTGATGTGGCGGAAATTGGATGACAAGGAAAAAACTACTCTCATTTGATAAATAAGTTTAAAAGTATCCTCCTTTGAGAAATAAGATTGGAGACTACCCTCCTTTGGGAAAAAACTCATGGACCTTGTCATAGACCTTGGTCCATTTTTATCTCTATCTCTCTCCCCCTTTTCATTTTTCCCTACACTTTTCAGTTTTCATCAACTTTTTCTCCTCGAATCCCGTGTAAGGTCCATATATATGGACCTTGTCATAGACCTTGGTTCATTTTTATCTCTATCTCTCTCCCCTTTTTCATTTTCCCCTACACTTCATTCAAATATTCATTCTATCTCTATCTCTCTTTTATGCCACATCACTCCAATGCACCCTCCTATGCCACATCACTCCAAGGGCATTCGTCCATTTTTATCTCTATCTCTCTCTTCTTTTTCATTTTTCCCTACACACCACTTCATCTAAATATTCATTTTATCTTTATTTCTCTCCTATGCCACATTACTCCAATGCACCCTCCCATAAGAGCTCCATGTTGTACCTCCCGAAAAGTATAAGAAAATAAAGTTCAAACAATTTTTCTTGTAGACAAAATTTGTAGAGATTTTGTATGTATTCATAGGTAATTACGTAGTATTTGTGTATATAGACATTAATGAACGAATTATATATGTATACCCGTATACATAGTGAACTAGAAGTGTATACATTGTTGTGCTTAGACAATATAAAAATGTTACAATTCTGTACAAATTTCATCAAAATTTGAATACAAAATGATGACATGAAAGAGGTGCATGTAGGAATTTCTCTCTTTGTTTTACATCATATATTCACGTACATCTTATCATACTAGGAAAGTCTATAGTGCCCTGTGCCCATTACATAAATTGCCGCAAACTCCCCACCAATAATTTGCAGACATTAGTAGGCATGCCGCATTATCATTTATCATGATACAAAATTACTTACATACGTAGTTGAAATTTACTACCTAAAAAGGTTAATTTGAATCATGAATTCATTATATAAAACGGCATCATTATATAAGGCTCATATCCGGTAAGTTGTCAATTTTTGTTTTTGATATTTGGTTGTATTTTCTTTTTTTAAGATAACTAATTGATGATTCTTACTTTTATCTTTAGAATGCATATATCTCGATCAGGTAAGGTTTGCAATAACATTTCATGCGTTATTCAAATTTGGTAAAATTTTGAATGGAAACGGGGAGTATTCCTTTTTAAGAGATTAATTCTCGAAAGTATCTACAATTAAAGCATAATTGGTTTCTCCAAATATAACTAGTATGGGGTAATTATAATTATGTTCACGAGTAAGGATGTTTTCTGATCTGTTAGTTCCTAATTTTTTTTTATAGTTTGAATAGCACACACTTTAAGGATATATTGCCTTTTTTCTTTTGATTTGTTAAACTACCAATTTTGTTGAGGATAATCTTTAGTGTGAAGTACATTGTTTAACAATCTTGACAAATTGAACAAACTTATTACTTCAGAATAAATGAGGAAATTGATAAGAATTTGTTTACTATATAAGAAAAGAGTACATCATTAATTCTTTATGATAACTATATAGTGTATACTCGTATGAGTAACTTTTTTAATAAATATATAGAGTTTTAAGTTAAAATGGTTGAAATTTTCAAACAAAAATTAAAATGGTTGAAAACTGAGTAGTAGATCACTAGATTTGTATACAAATTTGAAATAATCCATTAATCATATTTGAAAACTCAATTCCCTTTATGGAGTTCAAAACAAATACGTAGAACGAAGTATATCTAAGTGAAAATTCATTTGGGTCAAACATAATACTCCGTAACTTACTGATTTTGAGATGCTTGTAGCGAAAACCATATACCAGAATGTTGACGTCGTGGAGGATCAATCACTCTACAATCAAAGCCCGGGGAAACCACTCCGGCGCCGGCATAGAGTAGCGGTAATGCAGCCGGCCGAGAAGGGGAACACGTCAGCGGCGGCGCGTATAAAAACGGCGACGAGGATGACGACCCCGCTACGGAAAGCCCCTGCGGCGGAGTAGCCATAACGGGCCAAAAAGCCCACGGCGGATGATGCAAGAAGTTATTATAATTAGATAACGTGGAACTAATATACCCCACGGCGGTTGGCGGCGGAATAGGCAGCGGAAGCCGGAGCTCCGCCGCAGTACTAGCATAACTTCCACTTGATCTTCCTGACGGCAGTAGATCCAGCTCCACGGGTCCTAGGCGAGTCGTCCTACCATGCTCCTCATGATCCCGACCGTCGTGGCTCACGGTGGCTGAGTTATTTCCGCCGCCGCCGCCGACGGTCAACTGAAGCCAGTCTTTATGACCATCATCTTCTTGGACGACGGTACTACTATTAGCAAAACAATCCTTACAATAATAACTGGTGGAAGCCTCCTCGTTATTAACATATTTTTCATTAAGATCAGTTCTTGATCTATCATCATCCTCCGCCATTAATGGATTCTCAAAAACAGTTGTTCCTACTAATAAACAAATTCCCTCTCTGTAGTGAAAAGGTAGAAGATGAAATCCCAAACTTTCTAAGGGAATCATACGACCAAAACCCTGCATCAAGATCCAGTTTGCAGAGGTTTTCAAGATCAGAATAAAAATAACCAAATATGGTCATATTCATTCAAACCCCAAAAACCACACATCCCAAAGTCCCAAATAAACCGATAACCAAAGAAAAAACGTCGACAGAATTTGGGCAAGCTAATACTACCTCCGTTCTCTTTTAATTGCAACATTGAACTTTTTGCACTACTCACATATTCTACTTTGACTATGTTTTATTTATTAATGTATTATAAATTAAATTCTTAAAAAATATTGTTAAATTTCTTCTCATTCTAAATTTTCAAAATCTGAAATTTTTAAATTTTTTACTAAAAAGGAATGAAAGATATTAATGGTCAAACTTGTGCGTTGGCATACGTGAAATGTTGACGGTTGCAATTAAAAGTGAACGGAGGAAGTATAATGTTATGATTGTTTTCAAGGATCCAGTAAGAAAAAGCCATATGTTTTTTTTGCAAGGAAAGCCATATAAGTATATGTTTTATGTATATATATGGAAGGAAAGCCATATATGTTATATGTATACACAGGGCGGAGCCAAGGGGTGTCAGGGTGGTCAGCCGACTGTGCTGAAAATTTGAGAGTATAGAGCTTCGAAATATCTTCATTTTGATACATTATGACCCCCGTAACTCATTACGAGTAAAAAGTTTTGAATTCTATTGGAAAATCAACACTTTCTAAACATAAAATTAGCAAAATTTGATGCATACTATAGGTTATTATCCTAAATTTTAAAAGCAATGTATTATTCACTCTATACTTATGTGACACGATCCAGAAACAGAGCAAAGACAATCTATCTTATTGCTACGAGTGCTTTTTATCTATACATATGGAAGGGTTTTTGTATTTTTATGACGCGGAATAAAGAGAACATTATAGGGACATTATAATGCAATTGACGACATTTGTAAGTACATGAACTCGTTTTTTAGTGTTAACTAAATGCATCCGTTTGATTAACTAACACATTAATATGGCTGAGTTGGTTAATAAAATGCTGAGTAAGAAAGGGTAGTCGATCACGTACGGAGAAGTCGACCAATGTTCTAGCGTCCACCTTCAGGAAGTTGAAGGACTAAATGTGGAAATTTTCAAAGACGGATATCAAAAGTGTCTGTCGCACAATAATCGAAGGACTAAAAGTGGAAAACTCAAAGTCGAGTACCAAAAGTGTTAATCACATAATAGTCGAAGGACTAAAACTGGCAAAAACTCTCAAAATATTAAGAAAGTTCATACGACTCAAATTCAATACCAACTTTCCCCTTAGACGACTCAACGTTACTCAAAGGTATCTTCACCCGATGATCAGGGGCGTAGTTAGGGAGGGGCCAAACCTGACCCAGGTTCAGCTCAAATTTTAAAAATGACTATATTTTTAGAGTAAAAAATTTCGTGTAATTTTTTTTCAAAAATATTATTTGTGCCAGTCCAATTCGACGCAGTGCCCTGGTTCCGCCTCTGCCTATGATTAGACATAAAAAAGATCACTCTATACTGAGTAAATCGTTTCGATAACCATGCGAGATTTTTTTTTTTTTTACCATGCGAGATTTTTAAAGCCTAATTTGGCCCTAAAAATTATATTATTTTTAGCACAGGTTACACCCTTAAAAATTATCATTAGCCTTAGTGGTGAACTTATGGGGTTTAAGTATTGTTGGATGCTTCATGTAACAAGTTCGATCCTTTCACGTGTACATCTGTCGATTCTTTTTTGCCTCCACTGGCCTTAAAGTTCCCTCACCCATCTCATCCGTGCTTGGCTGCTTCTTAAGCTAATTTTTTTTGTAAATATTTCTCTTCAACCTCAAGCATACAAATAAACATGAAACAACAGTACGTCCCCATGTTAGTACTTTTTAGCAAATCCGTCCCCATGTTTTTATTTTTATTTATACATATTGATAAGTAGTTTTATTATACAAAAATATCAATACATTACATATTTGAGTATGTAATATATTATTACAATTTATTGTCCATTTTTTATTTTCTTTTTCAGATGGTGTGTTTATTTTTCTCTTATCGATATTCATAATGAAATTTGATTTATAATTTTATTGTACATATCATGTACTCCCTACGTGGTAATGTCCGTTATAACTTTGTCAATTTTTTCTTTTTTGGTTATCTCGTTAACTTTGTTCATTCCCCTTTCAAATAAAGAATTCGTAGTTTCAAATAATTTTCTTTCTACTGCACGAATCTCAATTACACACATTTTACTTTATTATTTATGTGTCAACCAATTTTGGTCAAATTATATGGGACGGAGGGAGAATCCTATGCATATTTCTACTATATACTTTGTGCATACTCTGAGCTCCGATGCCTAGATCCGCCACTGGTTCTGATCGTGCAAAAACTAAACATTATAGGACTGAAACAAATACACATAAACCAAAAACTGAATACTGGTGTAATACTTCATTACTTCGGTATTGAAAATAAAAATAAAAAACTGAATACTCCAATGCCGCCTCCCACCAAAAAAGTATGGATCCACTCATCCACCACTGCATACAGAGGCGGATCCACTAAGGGTCCTGGGACCCCTTGCACCTCGAAGAAATTACCTATATATATTATATGTGTATTACATAAAATTAATTTTTACATGTATATTTACACTGAAAACGAACTAAGAACCAAAGGAACGGAGCAGGCGAACGGGAGCAAGCGCAGGTTTAAAGTTTCATGCTGCGGTAGGTCTAAAAACGCATAGACAAAACGACGTTTCGATTCCCCCTGGGATCTGTTTTTTTTCAAAACTATTTTAATTAGATAGACCAAAACTACATCTTTTTGTCTATGCGTTTTTAGACCTACGCCTCTTCACAAGTTCGACGCTCTGCCTCCAGTCGACCACCAGCCGCACCCACCACTCCAGGCGCTCACGCCCAGGTTTTTTTTATTGTTTTTCTCTTTGCTGCTTTGCATATCTTTTTTTAAATGTTAGATTAAATTAATAAATGTATGTATTTATAAAAGTTATTTTCAATTTTATACGATTTAGGATGAAAAGATATTTTGGTGTTGTGCCCAAATTTAAAGAAACTCAGACTACCGGAAGTAGTTCAGGTGTTAATTCAAATGATTCGCCATTAACTGATGAAGAATTGGATCAAGTAATTGGTGAAAGTGAAGCTAATTTGGCTTATAACATACCTGAACAACATGAGGATTTTTATAAGTTTTATATGAATTAGAGATTGAAGATATAAAAGGGTAGGGATCCGTGGCTCCAACTTTCTGGGTCCGCCACTGACTGCATATATAATCCATATAGTATAAATATATATACGTACGTACATCCCTAATTAAGGAAGTGCATTACTACTCATTAACACATACAAATACAGAGTATATACTCCATATATACTATAAAGATGATTAAAAACTACATCATGTCAAATACTTTGTAGTAAGATGACATCACTACTAAACTCTTATAGAAGGAATCATAGGTTCAAGTCTCATGATCTCATCTCAATAAAAAATGATGATATTATTATGAGCAAATACTATAACAAGTACGTTAAGGATGATATTAAAATTAAGAACTATACTCTTGCAAAAAAATTAAGAACTATACCATAATACCATATTCATTAGACCTCATTATATTACACATCTAATTTACCCCGTATATACATGTGTTGCCACCATTAATTTAATTATTGGCATCAACTTTGAAGTTTGAACATAATAATGCAATTCATATTCTAAAAATGTAAAATGAGGAAAGAATAAAAGGCCTTTTATTCCAATATTACTAACATGAATGAAAAAGATAAAAAAAAAAGTGACTTGTTTTATTTTTTTTTTCAAAAATGTGACTAAAAGTCATTTATTCCTTATATTTAATCATATAATTATGAAATATTCCTTTTATACATTTGTAACCACCGGCACCTCTGGACCGCCGACCCCAGCATCATCATTGTCGCTGCCACCGGCACCGGCACCGCCACCGGCACCGGCACCGGCACCGGCACCGGCACCGCCGCCGCCGCCGCCGACACCGCCGTCAGTCACTATCTCAGTTACTCCAGCCAAAATGACTCCGGCCAAAGTGACTCCGGCCACAGAGACTGCTGCCACAGTGACTGCCGCCACAGTGGCTCCGCCGCCATAGTGGCTCCGCCGCCACAGTGGCTCCGCCGCCACAGTGACTCCGCCGCCACAACGACTCCGCTGCCACAGTGACTCTGGCCATCATGACTGCCCTGCTATCGGCCACAATGACCTTTGACCCACCGGCCACAGTTACTCAGCCATAGTGACACGCCAAACGAACGCAACCGCCACCCCGATCGCCACCCCAGCCCTGACTCAACTCCCCATCCCCCATCCCTCAGCCGCCTCTCAGCCACTTCCAGAGTCACCGAGCACTGTCGTTACTGCCCCACCCCCTCACCACAGTCACTGCACCACCCCAGCCCCACCACACGCTACTCCAACCCAACCACACGTTGCCCTAGCCCTGCATAGTCGTTGCACCATCCCCAGTCCCATCCCTCCCTTTCCCTACCCAGCACCCACAACCAGCGCCCTTCGACAGCCTAGACCCCCTCCTCTGCTTCCCAGCCCCAAACCCCTGTAGTCACCCCCTCCTATCCTCAGATCTCCTCCCAGCCTCCTAGATCTCATCCCCTGCCTTCATCACATCCCAAAACCTAGCCTCCAGCTAGTCATACAGTCGTTGAACGCGAAGAAAAAGGAGAAGAATAGGGAGGACGAAGACGATGAAGAACGAATCGAAGAAGGACGAAAACGGATCGAATGGAAATCAAAATGAATCGAATGGAAAGTAGACCAGATCTGTTCTTCCAGCTTCTGGAATGTAAAGCAAGGTTGCGAACGAGCTCTCGACGACTCTGGCCTAGTGGAGATGGCGGTGTTGTAGGGGCAGGCGATGGAGATGTTGTGGATTCCGAGTTCGCTGGATGCTTCGCCTCTGGTTCGATCGATGAGCTTCGATGGGAGCGAAGAAGATGGACGACTTGCACTGGGGAAGATGGGGCGATGGAAATATGCCGATGCTTACTGCTGGAGTGTTTTAATAAGTCATATTTTTGGAAAAC